AACTGCTAGAACTCATACAGGAATTCAGTAAAGTAGCAGGATATAAAATCAATGCACAGAAATCAGTGGCATTCCTATACACCAACAAGACAGAAGAAAGAGAAAGCAATTCCTTTTTGCATTAGATTTCTGAAATGAGATAAAATGCTATTTAAAAAAATTAATTTTTGCTCTTGACTCAGTCAAAATATTTTTTGAAATTATATTCTTTGTTGTACTAGAGGTTATTCAAAAAGTAAAAGCAATTTGTGTTTATGAGGGTTTCATTGTGTGTTATCATTGATGAGCTTTTATTAAACATATATGCCCTTTATTCTGTTCAAATGGCTTTCAGCAAATTTCAGTCATATTTTGATGCAGGGTATTGCAAAAGCAACTAGTGTTCCTATTAACCATGTATGTCCTCAATTAAAAGACCATAGGCCTCTGGAAACTATATATTGTATGGTAACTTATTTTGTTTGTTAAACTAATTGGACATTTCTGGCAGAGGTCACATGTGTATGATACACTTTTCTTGAAGGCAGCTGTTGAATTGGACATGAAATATAATGTTTCCCTCTAAGTCTGATTCTTCCAGGGGTATCTGCTGTCCCCTCACCATGAGTTAGTTACTTTTAGAAGTAGCATTAACTCAGATAAGCTGCTATTGTGTTGTATTATGCCATTTCTAGAGGCGCGAAAGTTGTATTAAAAAAAGAAATCTCAGTCTTGGTGGGAATCTGACTCATTAACTTGACTTATACATTAAAATTTCCCCTTATGAAGTGTGCCCTAGATTACCATATTATAGTTGTGTGTGTGTATGAGTGTATAGAAACAGGATATGATATTTATAATGATTTTATGTCATAAGTTCCATGCTGAAATAAATAAATAAATCTATAAATTCCTTTTTGTGATAACCAGTTGTCTGTCCTTCTTTCAAAGTGGATTTGAGCTCAACATTTTAAATTGAGTGTGATTAAGTTAAATTTCTTAAACTTACTTATTTAAATTTTTCCTGTAATTGTCTACTTTAAATAAAATTCCTTTGCATATCACCTCTATATCAACTTCCCAATCTATTTTTCAAGAGTTATAAAAATGTTAATGAGTGCATATGGCATTCAAGGACAGTGTATATTGTAGCAAACAATTTTCAGGACTAAGACAAGAAGTATGTGTAGTTATAGTAACCTAACAACCTCTGGTGCTAAGGAGTGAAATGTAGTTAGGGTGGCTATGTAACTTACTCCAACTGGGAGATTTTGGAGAAGAAAAGAGGTTATTATATCGATATGAGAGA